CACTAAGACGCAAGGGGAGGGGATCACCGAGAGTAAAAGAAAATCGGAAAACGGTATTGAAGAGAAAGGACAATAAAAGAACTGGATTGAAGAAGATGACGATTGATTTTGCATTTATATTTTAGAAGCTCGTAGTTGATTGGAAAAGCCAGAAACTAGAAGAGAAATGAACAGGTGAGAAGAAAAAAAGGAAGATTTAATATTTACAATACTTAGCCCAACCTGATAAAGGTCCACAAGTTTCGGACACTCAGTGAGAGTTGAACACCCTACATTAGAAATATTCGGAAAGGGAAACACGCTTACCATAGTTTTATATCAAGTGTCCTAAGAAATGTTAAGTTTCTGTTATCAATATAAAAGCATAAAAAGACTGGCCGTTATACTGCGGCTTTAATTAACTAGTAAGATCTAGTATATTGAAAACGAGAAAAAGACGAAAAGTATGTTGGAAATTTTCTTGTTTGACAATGATTACTCAGTCTTCAGGTATGGCATCCTTAAAATGCGTCAATGAAATTAACCTACAAATATTTTGTTATTATTGAAGGACCAGTTTTAAACAAAAAACATTTTCAGTTATAGAGAAAACGTTTTTGTTTAATTCCTTCATATTCTTTAAATCTATTTAGCTTTATGCAATGTCTTACATTTTTATAGTCTTCATGGTTTGTTTTTATGCCTGTTATTGCTTTCTCCAAAAAAAAAAAATGGGTTTGAAAGGTTTGAATTCTCAGGATTTAGATCTATTAACAGCCTTTCCAAGGATTAAATATACATTAAGTTAACTGCTTCCAATTAAAATTCTCTCGGTGGAAATATTTGAGTCTCCGTTGCAGTAAAGATTCAAAAAAGGATTTGACCGGCTATTTTCATGCCTAAATTGAAAAACTATTAACGGGAAATTTGAATTTAGATTCGATTTCTGAAATCGATTAAGAAATCAAATCCTTTTGCAGAATCAAACACATTACAATCAATATGTGTCTGATGTACATTCGCAGAATTTCCGTAGATAAAAACAGGCCACATTGTCTACATCGACCAAATTATTTATTTTAAAATAATCTGTTTTTAAATAATAATTTATAAACTTCAGATGAAAAATAAATAGATTTATAACAGATATATCAACTTTATAAATGAAATAACTAAGATGGTGGCAATTTTGACGAAAGAAAATATGAAAGGAAGAATGAAAACCTGAAAGAATGGATAAAACAAAGCAAATCATTTCATAGAATTAGAAAACTAGAAAAAATATTATAAAGAAAGACAAGGAAAGATGCTTTCGTTGGGATCCAGTTAATTACGATGAGTGTAATGTTATTGACATTGATGGAAATAGATGTTAATTGCAGTGAAGTTATGTGAATTAGGATTAAAAAGAACCAAAATTGAAATTGCATTCGAAAAAATCACCAAGCAAGAAAAAAACCGCAAGTGACCAAAAGCCAGATAGAGAAATAAGAACGCTGATGTAAAATTATTAAAGTTCAGATAAACAGAAGTTGTTTTTTAATATAATAATTTTTTTTAAAGATGTTTGCTTTCAGAAATTGTTAATTTGTTGCAATTATGTTATAGTGGAAAGATTTATCGTTCGTTCTGTATTTGAAACCATATGTAAAAATGTTCACAAGTTTCTTTTTCATGAACTTCTTATGTTTTTAATTTTAAATCACATTTTTTGAAAAACTTAGCAAGAAATTGCTTTTATTCTGATCTTCAAGTCCTGCCTCCGTTACATATGAAACTTGTTTCCTTTTTTCATAGGACAAGAAAATCGACTTTTATTGTTCTGCTATTATTACAGAAATATGAATCAATATCATTGAACAATCGGAAGAAAGCCTTGTACGAGGTGAATGTTACTTTTAAAAAGATAACCGCGACTGTTTACATCGGAAAGCAGAAAACTGATCAGTACAAAACAACTATCATGAGGTTCTTTTCTCAAAGGGCTCGCTCTCTACCCTCCATTAACGCATGAGACAAACTTCCGATTTCAAAGAAAAAAAAACTGGTGTCTCTTATGGTAAGTCCTTTGATTATAAAAATCTGCTATCGCAAATAATTTTTTTTTAAAGCCATAAATCTACAGAGCAAAATCGATAAACTTTCCACAATTCTTCTAAGTAGCTTTATGCCCTAATCACTGCAGACATTATTATGCCATAATTGCCGTAGATTAATTCATTTTAGCATAAATCATAGTTAAAAACGAATGTGGCTCATTGTAATAAATAAATCATGAACACTGAACAGGAAGAGAAAGTAAAAATGATCAAAAATGAACCTAAAATTAAATAAAAATAAAATAACACCAGAAAAGAAATTGAAGGAGAAATTGATTAGAGAAAATAAGAAAAGAAAAAAAGGTGTGTTAGTCAGAAATGGCCAAGGGAAAGAACTCTCTTTCCCTTCCTTAGCAGTCAGGCAGGAAGTCCATTACCAGAGAGATAAGAATACATGGAACCAGCGCCCATGCTCAACTTACTTGTTGAACAAGACCAGATCTGGCGTCCATATGTCGGCAGCAGGCACCTCCAGGGTCTTCAGCCCTGCATACTCCATCGGGTTCCACTGAAGCCATACGTCCCACCATTCCTTGTTTAAGATGACGAGTGATGAAAATTGTCGCTATTAGCACAAATGGCTGGGGTATCATGGAATTGGGAAGGGAGAGAAAAGTTGGAAGAGTTTGATCATCCGGTCTTTTATAAGTAAATGTACTTAGAGTCGAGGTAATCATTACGACGACTTTGTTCATCAAACGGTTCATAGCATCTTTACGCTTGTCAGAGGTCGGAGGTTAACAAATTCTTACTTATACGTAATTCAAATTTAATTTTAAAAATAACATGTAGTATACTCTTTACATTGTTCGGACTATCATCCTCGTCTTTGTTGCCACATTTATCACGTTTCGGTCGTTGTACGCTCCGGCATTCGTCAGGGGGTTGGAATGTCGAGCTGGCCCCTTTATTTCGCTCACTGGAGTAGACTGTTCTAGTTCCACGTGCCATGCCTAATGGACGTCAGTTATCAGTTATCACCTGTTAATTCCCCTCTCCAAGTTCTCCACCTACTTAACCAGGTATTGAACTTACACTCTTTGGGTCGTGTCACTGGATCTAACCAACGCCTTTACCCACTGTGCCATGTGTCCTTGAGTTTCAGTTCGATATTCCAACCACCTGACGAAGGCTGGAGCGTCCGAAACGTTGTGATAAATGTGACAACAGAGATGAAGACAATAGTCCGAATAATGTAAATAGTGTACATAATACCTCATCTCAGAAATATAGACAGAAAAGATGTAGTAGTTATATATATGTTTATTAACAATATTATGTGCGACGATAATTTATATAAAGGTCAAAATATTAAGAACATTAATTACAATGTTTCATTTATTATTTGAATGTCAAAAGGTCGAGGTCTACTTTTCAATGTGCTCTTATTGCATATTGCCTTGTGAGTTAGAATATTTTATCTGATTATTTTCATAAATGTATTAAAAAGAATAAGTTTAAATGAATGAGTTTAAATTTATTTTATAGAGTCAATATGATTACCATTAAAAATCTTAATGAAGATAAATAAAGAAGTGGAGGTAAAAATATTTCCTAATGACTTTTACATAATTAGTGTGTTTATAATTATTCCCTAGCGTTATGTATGATTAACTCTGATTTGGAATGAAATGTGGTATGTAGTGGGGTAATGTTTATATATTTGATTTAATTGAATTATCTTAATGATTGTGATTAGCGTGCACGGATTTGCACACTCAACTGAGTTGTACTTTCCATGTCTACCAAAGGAAATAAATGTCAAAACTGCATTTATAAATAGATTGCGACCGACACTACGTAAATCGTTTCAAGTGCGGGGAAATATCAATCTAAACGGATGATATATCTGTTATGCAGATGAAATGTAAAAGATGAAAGTATTTAAATGATGATGACAGGGTTTGAAGGAAATGGGAACTGGGGGCGGGATGGGCTGCATATATATATATATATATATATATATATATATATATATATATATATATAGGGGTATTCATTTATACAGAAAGGGTGCTCAAATTATATAGTACACACTTATATGATGTCAACCAATAAATGAAACAACACAGAAATACAATAAAACACGTATAATCAATTTCGAGCAAGACAAGACATGAAGCATTAGGAAGAGATAAACAAACATGCATGTGCGACTCTCTACAAACCACATACATACATATATATATATATATATATATATATATATATATATATATATATATATATATATATATACATATATATATATATATATATATATATATATATATATATATATATATATATATGTCATAGAAACATGTCGTACTGCCTGTATCAAATTAGTCTAAGACGTGAAAAAAGCTATTTTGTTTTTATTATTATATATTTTTGTAAGTGAAAATTTAGTATATGTGAAGATGAATCTTTTGAGTGCGAGAAACACAGGGATTCCCGATTTTCTGCCGCCATGTCGATCGGTTTCTGCGTTCACTAATTGTTATGGATGATGTCTTGTACTACTTCTGGAAATTATTGATTTTGAAACCGATATTAAAGAACATTATTCAAAGAGCATTGGGATCGTAAGTATTATGTTGCACGATGCCGCAAATCCCTGGGTATAATCTGGAAAATTAAGCTTTTGTATTTTCTTCAATCTACTAAAATCTAAAACTAAACACTGAAAAAAATACAATTTTTGGCAAGAAAAGTTCATCTTAATTTCGCTTAACTGAAGATAAACATTTGCAAATGAAAAATTTACAAATTCAGATCGGTTCTACACTTTAGGTAATAAACTTTTAGAATTAAAGTTGTTTTTTTAATCGTGGTCAGACTAAGCAATAAAGGATAACAAATATTTTCCGACGGATTTCCGACTGAATTGACATCAAACAGGATAAATATACGGACATTTGATTCGTTATTTTAGATTTCCGCTTTCCAGTTTAACCGCTTTACAAAACTAATGATAAAAACTCAAATGAAAGCATTAGAGAATTGTATGATATAAAATCCTGTATTAATATAAAGCATATTACTAGTAATTGTTTAGTAAAAACCCAATATAAAATATTTATAAATTCTGTTAAGTCATTTCTTGGCTCCTTTTCAGACTTTCCATAGACAGATTTCAATACTGGTTTTAAGATTACACTTTGCATACTATTAGTCATTTGCATACTATTAGTCATTTGCATACTATTAGTCATTTGCATACTATTAGTCCTACTGTTAACTAAAAACTGTTCTCTTCCAGCGTGGTTAATATTTCCTGAGTTTTCGATTGTTAAGAATAAGTTAAAGTAGATATTTATCAACTCGGAAGTTTGCTTAATAACATTTTACTCACTCAGCCATTGTCAATACGGCTAAGTGTCCATTTGGCTAAATATCTAAGTATCGGGCAGTGGCTTGTTCTCCCGCCAATCACGCGTCGGCGAGTAACAAGAAGCTCTTAAAAATATGGTTGAAACTATTCATTTTAAGTCGAGTGAAAAAAAAACATTTTGTTCTGCATATGTTTTGTTTTACTTTTAATTAAAGATTAAAGACATCTTAAGACATCTGTAGCTCCATTTATCTCTAAACCCTGCCATGAAAATAATAATTGTCTAGTGAGAGGTGAGCAATATTCCGTTTAAAGGAAACGTCTTGAAGAGTGTGAAACTATTTGTTGAGAACTTTTATATTCCACAAGCCAATATTTTTATTTACCTTACCAAGTAAAAATCAAATCAGGAACATAACAAATTTACATTGGATTTATTTTTTATTTATTATTTTTGATTGTTTCAAATTGTTGCTTTTACACTATCGAGAAAAAAAAACGTGAATTCAAATTTAAAATGTTTTTTGGTTTCGTCTTGTGAATTTTTTGGACAGAACGACGTGTTGTTTCGAAATGATTTCCAGTAAAAGAAAGTGACCGGCAGTTTTACAGAAGCACACTTACAAGCACTGACAAAGGCTGAAACATACACAGAAATATTTACAAAGATACATAGACCAATATTAGGCTTTCATTATACATTACAAGCAAAAAAAAAAAAAAAAAAAAAAAAAAAACAGATAAAATGATCGCGCGCATATGATTTGTATTTAGCATCATGGTAATAAAAATAAGAAAATTCTTGTTCAGCCAAAATTTAACGCAGGTATTAATTATTAATAAAACCATATACAAGAAAATAGACGAAGCAGAAAATAGCGGAAACAAACTGAGTTTACAATGAGCAGAAATATTCATAGCAAGAGGCAGATTATTTTGCATATAGCTTCAAGCATCATGTATGTGTGTGTGTGTAATGAGTCAGTACTGAGATATCATGCCTTTATAAGAAACGTTTTAAGAAGAAATAACCTTTTCAATAGAATGGCTATTTTCCCCAAAAGCTTGTCGCAAGAAAGTGGCACGATCCATCTCGTGTTTTCAGAGAACATACATCCATATACAAAATCAAGATACTGTCAGATGAAAATATAAAATATATATATATATATATATATATATATATATATATATATGTCATTCGCAGGCAGAACTGTTTCGCTTTATCACAGCTCCTTAGTGCGACTAGACATCCAAAACCCCAAGCTAGGATCGAAACCCGACTGATTGATTAATTAATTAAACCAAGAGCTTAATTATGTCATAGTCGAAATTTTCATCCCTAAGCCATCAGCGCTCGGTAGAGAGAGAAACTGCTAATTCTAGCCTATTGTTTTTACCAATGTAAACAAACGCCAATCGGCAAGAATTCTCTTATTCATTTTACCAAAGAGGTTTGCGTATTAGCGTATGCGGTTGCTGTTTGGAGAATTAGGTTGTCTCTCAAGAGTGGTCAATTAAAATATATTTTCAAGATTATATATATATATATATATATATATATATATATATATATATATATATATATATATATATATATATATATATATATATATATATATATATATATATATATATATATATATGGACGAGATGATTGCAACACCTTTTTAACGTAATGCAATATCGTCATGTACTGTGTCTTTTTGGCACATGCAAATAATATATTTTGCGAAAGAAAGGAATGAAATGATGCAGCAGACAAAAAGTACTAGCAAATTGAAACCATGGATTCACCGTTGAATTTGGGAGGGAAGGGGTCACACACCACACCAGCTGTCCCTAACCGTTGGGCAGAAAGGCCTTACATTAAAGAACAATCAGCGTGACATAGAGTCATGCTCTTACCCATATATTAAAAATACAAATTTTATTGGTGTACAATCCTGAAAAACAAGCATTTTGTGTTTTATATATATATATATATATATATATATATATATATATATGTGTGTGTGTGTGTGTGTGTGTATGTGTGTGTGTGTGTGTGTGTGTATTCTTTTTTAGGCAAGTCTGATTGAATAAATTATAAACATTATGACAGCTTATTTTGATTACAATCCTTTCACATTCACGGATATTTCTCATATTATAATTTATTTAATATTATATACGGAAACAAT